GATTTATATTTTTTAAATATATTTTAAATGAGTATAATTTACTAAAAAAAATACTCCTTCCGTCAGCCACTAAGGGTCACATTTACCTTTTGTGTCATTGAATTTTACATTAAAAATATTCTTATATTTGTATAATTTTTTTGTACAAATTTCTTTCTATTAGTATTATAAGATACAAAGTATTTTTGCAATTTTTTTTTTTAATTTGTACTATATTTTGATATAATAATTAATATTCAAAGTTCAACACGCAAAAAATAAATGTGACCCTTATAGCCGGACGGAGGTAGTAAATGTGTCAATTGATTGGGATAGAGAGAGTATATGATATGATGGTAAATTTGGATGCCATTGCATGCCACTCAATCTCTCTGTGGGATCTCGAACAACATGCTGCTCTTTGTCTCTCCAACACCATCACACATCGTCTTTATAGATACACATGTATATGTATAAAGAGTTTTTCTCTCTTTGGTTAGGACAAGAAGCAACATAATAATGTAAGAGATCTAGTTAGAAAATACAAAATGAATAATATTGATGTTAAATTAAAATCACAAAATAAAAAATAAAAAATCCTCAAATTTTCTAAATAAGAATTTTTTAATTTTTTTAATTTTTCTTACATGAAGAAGGTCTCAAAGGGCACTTAAAAATTTGAAGTCTTTGGATCTGGGCCAAAACTATCCACACTAGGATTTACCTTATGTAGATGATAGTAGACAACATTGATGTTAATGAGTTTGTATTAAAACTACAACATATACTTAGTTGTAATAAAACTTATATGCATTTTGCTACGTAATTACACTAACTTTTAAAAGGGTCATACTACCCTACAAAAAGGTACAAGTTTTACAATAAAAATGAACTTTTTTGGTCTTCAATTCATCTCATCGATGGAAATAATAAGATCTTCTATATTTGCTATCTTGTTTGCTTTCATTAGTCTGTCAATACTTGACTTGATCAACTCTCGATCAATCTCCAAACTGGTGGGAAAGTTATCGTTTCTTAACATAGTTGTTTTACCAAAATGGGGAATTTTATAGTTGTTACCACCGTTGCATGCCATAATTTTCTTAAGACATGTCTGCAAACTTAAGAAAACTTGTTTAAGATTGTGTCGGTAAGTTCATCAAATGATTTTGTAATATCTTCTAGCAACTTATTCACGTTAGAGGCTGTTGTTGCAACCTATAATGATTGTATGGCCCGAAACCACCATAAATCATTTATGCTGGTATCGGGGCTGTTTGAGGGCTGAAAAATAAGGTGAATATTAAATTCATCCGTATTTGCAGCCCTCCGAAGGTACGGATCACTATAATCTATGTGCGGCTTGACATTATCTTGTTGAATGAAAATGTGCTTGCTTGCTGTTTTTGGCCACTTTGTTTGGTAGTAGCTGGAAAAGAAATTTAAGTTACACACAAAAATTTTCAGAAATGAAATTATGCAAAAAACTTGATGTACCTTATTGATTATGAGGGTCTTTGTGACACCTTTTGTGATGGACTCGAGGGAATTTGTTTCTAGGGTGTTTGCTGCTCGATTTTTTGACTTTTTCATTGTTGGAACTTTTTTCATAAATGGAAAAATGCTTTTTTTTTTTTTTTTTTTTTTTCATCGAATAGGAAATTCCCATCTTCTTCATACATTAGCCGGCTGACGGCACATAAAAATATTATTTTTGTGATAAACCTTTTACTTTGACACGACCTGTAAGGCTCTATTTCACCGGGTGTAAGGTAGTACTTTTCTGTGTTGCGTGTCATGTAAAACCACTTATCGTCTATGCGGACAGTATTCGTCACGCTCTTAAACCGAATGTTGTTTGCATCTGGCCCAATTTCTACTGAATTAAGACTTGAGTTTTAGCCTAGCCATCCGGTTCTATTCTGTAAGAGCATGCTTGATTGCGTTCGAATGAGGCCTGATCAGACCTGTCTTAGCCCATCTCCCAATTGTAGTTTTTCTGACAACCATTTCTTGTGCTCCGTCGGTATGACCCGCGCTTGTTAAAAGGTATCTTTTCCATTATTGTTTGGTTGAAAATATTGCATGTTGGCCGCCCTTTTCCAATCTTATGGTTATGTAATGAAATTGGCAAACCTGATTCTTATTGTTGCATTACTCTCTGCCATATTCTCCGAATTGAAGTACGCGTACATTGAACTTACTTGTTGCTTCATTTATTTTCCTTCGTACTGCACTCTCGTTGATGCTATCTTGCAATACAAATTGCCCTATGTTGTTGAGTTGGTGGTAGTTCAACTTTTTTTGGGCATTATGGGGATAAGTGTATTTATTTTTGTTTGCAAACACATAAATCCACTAACTATTGTTGTTTTTATAGGGAAAAATAGAGGGAAGAAATGTCTTTAGTTTGAGAGAGATTAGGTAGATGTAATACCTTCTGAGTTAGGCCGGTACTAGGCCAACTCCCATGGATGAGCCGATATTAGGCTATCCGAGGTTGAATATAGGTTAAATAAATTGAATAAACTACTCATGTTAACAATGTATACCTTTTTGGGAATTTTATTGAAAAAACTCAAGAGTTAAGCATGCTTGCTTTAGAGTAATTTGAGGATGAGTGAGTGAGGACAAAAACAAGCTGGAATGACTCATGTTGACCTGTGGAGTTAGTCTACGATCTCGGACATGCTCGGCTTCGCGTGATTTGCGGGCCAGGGTGTCAAAATAGATTTTTAGGAAGGAATTGAAAGAAATTCACCTCCTAATTTTTACTCTTTGATTAGACATTTTTTTTGTTGAAAATTATGTTACAATATTGATTTTCATTGATTTTGTGCCGTGTTTTGGGGATTATTATGAAGATCAAATTATTAGTTGTATAAACTTATTAGTGTTATTGTTAACTAGGTGTTAATGACTTTTTTTTTTCGTAACCTAATTTTTGTAAAATCTGTGTTGATTAGGCACTAATTTAAGTTATGAAAATTTTGTGTTGCTTTGCCCGATTTTATCAATACTCTCCGTGTTAATTGTCTTGTGTTTAGGGTGATCATTATTATTATTTTTAAATAGTGACTTAATTATTGTAATTACTGTATTAACGTTTTTTAATTACAATATATTATTACTTGTGTTAATTGAACAATATATATATATAAAATTACACTATATCATTACACGATATAATTACTAAAAGGGCATTTTGGACTTTTTACTTTTATTGATATTATATATAACATATTAATATTTTTAAAACACCATTCTCAAAAAAATTAGGATACATTATTAGGGGACAGAGAGAGTATATTTTAACAAATAATGTTGTGTTAAAAATTTGAGTTTAGTCCATTGATTAGGTCTAGAGCTATTAACGAGCCAAGCCGAGTCAAATTTTAAGTGTTTGTTAACATTCGCGAATAAGACTCGTGTTCGTTCGTTAAGCTTTCGAGCTCGTTCGTAGTCTTCGAGCTCGGCTCGTTAAGAATTTTTATTGTTTGAGCTTGTGTTCGTGTTTGGTTCGTTTAGGCTCGATTAAGCTCGTTCGAGCTCGTTTGTCTCAACTTTTTAAATTTATATATAAATTAAGAAGAAATTTTAAAATTATTTTATTTATATATTTAAAATTAATATTTTATTTATTTATAAATTATAATTTTACATGTATATATAATATTTATAATAAATATATTATTTAAACGAACATTCGCGAATAAAACTCGGGCTCGTTCGTTAATCAAACGAGTCTGTTTATGTTGTTCAGTTTAACTCGTTAATGTTCGCGAACGAGCTTTAATCAAGCCAAATCGAGCCGAGTTCACGAACAGCTCGGTTCGTTTAACAGCTCTAATTAGGTCTCCATTCTTTAAGTTATCAATTGTGGGTTCGAATCCTATGTTTTCTTGAGGGTGATTACGTGAGATATTTAAGATAAAATCAAACAATTAATTCACTACTTACCTTTTTTACTACTTATTCTAAGTCAAATTGAGTCAAATAAACTCAAATCAGCTTTTATTTATAGACATCAGTCAAACTTCTTAAAAGTTGTTACTAATAGTTGAAAAATTGATTTTTCACCATGTAATTTAGTAGATACAAATTTTTAATCAACGGTCAGCTTTTTTCTTTTTTTACACGGATCGAGACGGAGATTCTCGTCAGTTCAACATTAAATTTCTTTCCAACCGTCTTAATTTTCTTAACTAATTAATGAATTCCATTCGCATCTCTTGAAAGCATTAGTGACTCGCATCCTTCAATTACATTCTTTTGATCACACTCTTCTCAAAAACGTATCTTTATTTCTGCATGTTTTCTTTTCCCAAAACGCATTTGACATGCTAGCAAAGTTCCAAGGCATATCGAATGGTATAAAAAGGATTATAATACAATTACCATGACATTAGTTAGTACTATAAGAAAAAAATAAGAAAAAATTATTTTTGTAACAAAAATTTTTTTGTCTCTAAGTCTACTTTCTCCATTAGTAATGACATTAGGGACAGAATTAGGAATGAAATTACGTTAGCTACGTGAAATTTAAGGACGTAATTCCGTTACAAATATATATTTTTTTGTAGTGTAAGCGCAAATTTAGTTAAAAACTACCACATATGCTTATAAAGTTTACTAGGAAAATATGCCCAAAATTAGTATTATCACTAGATTTTCAAGCAGACCTTGAATGCCGGGTGAATTTCATTATGCCCGTCAATGAATCAATAATTGATGATAACTGATAAACTGCAAAAGTGGTGGTGTGCTTTTCTGAAGGTGTGTTGAATTGCTTTGTGTTTGGTTCATATTAAAAAACTTTAAGTGCATTATTTTAAGTTATAATTATATATATAGAATTTATCCGTTAGAAAAAGCCTAAATATATACCTAGAGAGTAATGTAGTTGCTGCTATAAAGAGTGGTTGCAACTTGGGTGTGAAAGAGTAGTGGTAATTATTTAATTAGTAGGTGAGAGGATGGATAATCTTACCATTGATAGAGAATTATGGCAAGAGCAAGAGCAAGAGCAAGAGAGAGCAACACTACAAGTGTGTCTCGTCAGACACAAATCAAACCAGACCAGACCGCACCACACCACTCAATCTCTGAAATGGCCAAACACAAGAGATGCGAGTGTAGGATGAGGAGTTAATAATACTTACTTCATGTCATGATTCATCTCCCTCTTCCTCTCTTTGCCTAATCAAGGAAGACACCTGCCACACGTAGTTCGCCTAATGCGACTTGCTTGTCGGGCCTAGTTTGCAGGGTATTAGGCTCGGTCGGGAATTTATCCCGTGCCTACTTTCGGATAGTGGCTGCGGGTTCTCACGTCATAATAAAAAAACAAAACAAAGACACCACTCACTCAACTGACCTTGAATTGAACTAGTCTGATACTCCATGCCGCTGCTAATTAATCCTCATCCTCCTATCAATTAATATTCATTCATTCTACCCGTAGTCTACTACAACACTTACTTGTGCACCAGCTGAGTTCAATCGACATTCCACCAAAGTCCTCTGGACTGGCACCCTTAACGAGTGTGAGTGTGAATTCCACGCATCACTGCACAGGACGGCATCACATCATAGAATGTCATAATCATTTGTTCCTCTTACGGGAAAGAAAACGTTCCCGAGCAGCCAAAATTCTGCTATCACGGTCATCTGCAGCCTTGGCACTAACATTTTCATTCCGCAACTCTAAATTTTCGGTTTGAGCCTGTTCGTGCGATCGACTTGTTCCACCACTGCTCCACAAAATCACAACAAAATCTCATCTCAAACTTCTGACCAGACTGAAGGTAGAAAGGCTCTACACGAACCAATGATAAAAAAAAAAGCTGAAAATGTGTACCTGAGCTTGTTGACATTAAGATTCTCAAGTTTTGATAGAATTGGCCTCACCCAGTGCATTTCAACAGCACATACATTCCTCATGTACGCTCGAGCAGTAGCGATTAGTTCATGATAGATAACATAATTTGGAAGCATTCCATCTTCATCTGGTTTTAGCACTGATGAGGGATGTACCTGCAAAAATTACAACTTTAAAATTCAGTAAATCAAGTGAGAAAAAAGTTTAGCTCTTGCGAGTGTTCAGAGCCTTTAGAGTTTGGTTTGGTTTCGTTTAGTGGTAAACATGGGAATTACTAATAATTTACACTTTACACAAGGTATGACCTACAGTAGATAGAGAGCTATACACAAATTAAAATGAGAGCCATTTATCTACCTGAACTAACTGTGACTTCAAGCCAAGTGTGCGGTAGCCGTTGTGACGAATCATCCGCTCGGCAAGCTGATTACCATAACCAATACACAGTGCTTTTCTCAAGGCTCTGTAATCTTGCTCTTCCCTGCGTTTCCTAAGTTTCACATCCATCGATCCTGCTAATTGCAGAGATAATTCTGTTGGACAAATTCTGCAACTTTGAAATTGTACAAATATGAATTTTCACATTTAGTGGTGAGCAAGTGTCCATTCCATGAACCATGGAACAGCAAGACAATTGTCATGCTCAACTGACAAATCAGTTCCTTTATGAGCAAAAAATTTATCAAAAGCAAACAACCCAGGCTGAGAATAGTTTACCAACAGTTTACAAGAAAAGGTAAGGAAGTCCAAATCAGCTCTGAAGAAGAATGTTACGAGTCTCTTTTTTGGAGTGGATAGCCAACTAAAAGTATATGTGTAAGGTTTTCTTTTATGCAACTTGAATAGTCTTTTTCAGAGCTTTTCCGAAAAAGAAAATCACATTCATGTCAGCGAACACACACAGGCGTTTACACACGCATATATATATAGATGTATCTTTAAAAATATGCTTTATTTTATTTTGAAATTTACAAAAAAAGGCACTTAACCTTTAGCAATTTTCTGCAGTATTTGGGATAACTGTTTCCTGACATCTTTGACAAACTTCATTCCCCTCACCTAAAATCGGAACAAGCTACCAGCATTATTAAACAAAAGGGACATGTATCATAGCAGTAACATTCTAACAATATCAAAGCTAGGCAAGTCCAAACAGTTCCCGAATCAACATTTGGAACCGTCCATTTTACCGTTTCGGTTAAAACTGGAAACATGAGAAAACCATAACAAAAATCATATATTTTAAAGTTTTCCTTCGATTCCACGTTTCAAGAATCACATAGTGGCAGATTTTTTGTTCAAACTAACAACTCCTTTTACTATTATTATTATTGTTAGTATTATTTTATTTTTAGAAAAAATTTCGAGATTTTAGCTACCAATAAAAATAAAAAAGTTTAGTGATCATTAAATCGAAGTTCAAACAGAAATCGGAACCAAAACTGGTGGCTCAAACTGTCAGTTTTTGTTTCAAATGGTGGTTTTGAGACTTTTTCTTTTTTTTTTTTCATTAAAATATTAAAAATAATGGATGAGATTTAATAACACATGCAGATAAATGGATGAGACATAGGGTTCAGAACTAGTGGTTTCCATCCGAAACCACAAGAATTGGAACCAAATCAAAATCGTGACATGGATGATTCAGTTTTAATTTGACATTTAAACAAAGGTAATTTCGAACCACAAGCAACTATTTGAACCATTTAAACAAGTGCATTCTTGATTATATTTCAGTACAAATTAAGACTACTTTGGTTGTGCTTGGGTTGGCTGAAAGTAGTATGGGTGTGTTTACTTGTGTAATTTTGATTTTGGGTTTTGATTTTGAATTGAAATAGTTGTTTGATGTGATGTTTTGAATATAAAATTAAATTACAGTGTAATAAAATAAATAAAAAAATAAATGTTTAATTTAATATTTTTTGGGGGAAAAAAAGTTAAGAATAATAAAACCGGAAACTAAATTTCACAAGTAAACACACCCATAGTTTTTGAAATAGTAAAATATAATGTGTGCCTGTGGTGTAATGTTTTGAATAGAATTTTAAAGGAAATATATTAAATAAAATAATAAATATATTTTGTGATGTGTGTTTGGGTTTAAAAAATAGGTTGGTATAGCTTATAGTTGGAAATACAACCAAACACGCCCTTGATATCCATATGATTTTTCGAAAGCCATGTATTGGGAAAATGTTGGCAAACAAACAAACAGGTACCTGTAAGTTGTTTTCTCTACACCAATCTATGCTGTAATCAGTTTGATGCCAAAGATCATAGATTTGCAATAGCTGGATGTGGTCACCCCAGCCAGAACCATCAGGAAGACTTGGAGTGTGCTTTCGCTTCTTTTCACCGCCCTTACTGATACACAATTAAATTCGCTAATTATCAACCTGGAAAACATGATTAAATTGACTGACTTACAAAAAAAGAAAAACCCTCAGGTTATGAAACCCATTGCTGATTGATTAAAAATTGGTCTTTCCTAGACCATTTTTCTTCAGGTATATCCCTACAACCCAAAATGAACCCAAAGGGCCACCTCTCAATATGAAATCGTCTACCACTTCGAGAATATCAAAGTCACCACACTCCAAAAATATCAAACCCATTTTGATGAAGCATCCGACCTACAATGCCACCAACACTGTGTTCCTGACTCCGAGACAACAACATTGCCACCAAATGTTGTTGTCAGAAGCAATGCGTCCGAGCCCCTAAGCCGGTCAACAGTTAGTTAATAACCGATCAACGTGTTGTTGCTGCTGACTCCGACAATGCGTAGAGGCATGTTCGATTGAAGAGTTTTTATAAAGACATCATACTAGGAATATTTTAGGCCTGTCTATCAAATTTCTTTCCAATTATAATCAAGTTTTCAGTTCAGTCTTCGACCATCTATCTAGAGTTTCTACTTAGTAGAGTTCAATTTCTTAGGGTAGCGCACAGCCACAATAAAAAAACCCTAAATTTGGCCAAAACCCTAATTTCTTAGAGCTTAGTACCTCAACTACAACTGGAGATCGCGGGCATTACCGCCACTACAAATCCTAATTTAGCACCGAAAATTGTCCGTAGCAACAGAGCTACATTGAAGTTTCTGGTAGAGGTGGCACCGGCAATCAGTTGTCACAGCGATACACTAAACTAAGATATTAGCATTTTGACCAAATGGCGCTGAACCCTAAAAGTTAAACGCAAATAGGCACAAACTTTAGATAGATGGTCAAAGACCGAACCAATAGGTTGGAAATATTCCCACTATATTGTCGCCGGAATATCCGGTGATCGGATGCCACAAAATGTGTTCAATATTTTCAGATGTAGCTTTGATATTTTTGAAGTGGCAAACGATCTTAGATTCAAGAAATCTAGTCCAATATGTACCCGAGAAAAATATGACTCTTTATATTTTGGAAAATTAATGAGTTGTTTATGAATAATAAATTCAAGGTTTATTTATAGGTATGGTACAAAAGGGATAGACGAAAATAATAATAATCTATAGTGGATATGTCTGAATAATAACTACCAAATCTCTTAACTAAAATATCTATGAAAAAAAAAAATCTCAACAATTAGACACTATACTCAAATCATCACTTTTCTCATTAAAGACACAAGGGCTTTGTTCTTCCAAATAATTTTTTTTCGATACGATTCCCAATATATATAATATATATTATATTCTTTCACAAAAGTCTACATTCAACAAATTCTTCCTTTTTTATATATATAAACTCCACAATTCTCTATACCTCACATAAAAAATAGAAAAAAAAAAAATCCAAACTAAAATACTAAACAAACAAACCCAAGAATTGTGAATCCTACAAAAGTTGTGAATAATGATTTTAGTAATGAGCAAGTAACATCCGTATTTGTGCAAAAACAGGATTATTGATCGTGCAATTTTTTAATGAATGTGAACTATGTGACACAAATATACACAAGTGCATACCTAAAGAATAAAATATGAACATAATACACTAGAGACATACCTTTGGCCTAAAAGCAATGTAGTTTCTGCAGATAACATTGCAACAACTGTCAAAGCATCAGAGAGGCAACCATACTCATTTGCCTCTAGCAAGGTCCTTGACAGTGACGGCTCCAGTGGAAGTTCTGCACAAGAAAGACATTTCAACTTGTAAAATGGGCAGGGTAATTGCATGCATAAATTAGCTTTTCTAGCATCAGCACATAAGTATTTCTATATATTTCAAAATTTTCAGAGAAAATGAGCGCAACAGCAGGTGGAGTAATGCTCTATACAATCCATAAATGGGTAATAACTGGAATTGTAGCTTGTTTTGGATATTCTATAGTGCTACTTTGGAATGATCATTTGATTTAAGCTTTAAGCTATTGTAATGTGTATTCCACAACTTATATCTTAGATATACAGTACCAAAAGCATTGGAAACTTTCTAATAATTCAGCTATTGAAGTGAGTTTGTTCCACAACCACAGAAAGAACTCTTTAAGAGAAACATGGGGCATTAAAAACTCTAAAAACCAATCAGACATAAATGGATTGCAGTAAGACAGGACAGGATTTTGGGTCCAGAGGAATTTCTTTTACCAGCCATCGTTCGTCCAAGACTGGTAATGGAACCATCGTCATCAATGGCATGAATGAGGTACAACTGCTTCAAGGCATCTTCCAAAGCCTCAGCTACAACATACACAAATGAGCGTTTCACATTCATATGGCTATTTACAGATTAAATCTGACAGGAAACACCTCAATATTGACTAGAAGACAGATACAGGGAGGCTGGCTTACAGGAAGGTGGGTCAAGAAAATTGAACTTGAGGATATCAATGTCTGGTAGGTCTAATGATTTTAAATAGAGGACACTTCCAGCAAGAGATGATCTCTGAATTTCAGGGATTGTAGCATCCAGAAAATCATCTTTGTAAACCAAAGAAGGATACAGACGGTAGCACTTCCCAGGGGATGTTCTTCCAGCTCTTCCTGCGCGCTGATTAGCCTGCACTCTAAAATTAACTAGATATCTGAGAATAGGCATAAACACATATTTCTAGAAACACATAATATAAGTGGCAAAGTTCTAGCACAAATCATGGGTGGAGGAGAGACAAGAAACAGGAAATAGATTACTCACACCTAAAATATTATGAGCCAAAACTCTATTAGAGAAAACATAGCAAATTTTTCAAATGTAATCAAGGCAGAGGAATAATGAAGGGGAAGCAGAATAGAGCAATTAAATTTAGGTCACAGCTCCAATTTTCATAGAGGAACAGAGAAGTTGGTTAGGGTGGTGGTGAAGGACTGACCCTTGTCTAAATCCCCCAGAATTGGAACTTGCCTGATCAAGTAAAAGTAAGCAAGAGTGGCTTGGATAGGTTACAGGCTTTGCATAAATTGCTAGGAGAACATGCCTAACTCTGCTATCACCATGGTGATGAACTCCACTAACAAAATCACTCAGCAGAAGTCCACATATATATAATTGTATTAAGACTCCTAACTCATGGTATCTCAAAAAGGTATCACTGGTAGTATCCCACCGAAAATATAAAATAATAACTAAACAATGGATGATGTGAGGCTAAATCTCATACTTGCTAATTTGAACAACATCAAGAGAATACATGCCAGTTGATGGATTGTACTGCCGTTGCTTCACGAAACCACAGTCAATTACATACCTGCAATTCAAACAAAAAATTGTTCAAAACCAGCAAGACATTACTGATTGGAAACCAATAGCATGGAAGTTACAACTATTCTCAAAAAATGTAAAATAATTGAATTCTCTCCTTTAGCGCATGGCATATATGTATCTACAGGCCCCAAGAAAAAGTAATCATGTAAATATGTTTTAGTATCCAGCATTATAGTGATCATTAGGAGAAGAAAACCAAGCCAAATGATTTGACAATAGGATCCATCCTCACATTTGAGATATCAGTTTTGATAATCTCCAAGATGGATAATGAGTTGTATAGACTTCTTAATGTAGATATATATACTACAGAAATTCCACTAAAATTGAAGAAAACCAAGCCACTCACACTACACCATCAACAGTCAAAGAAGTCTCAGCTATGTTTGTAGAAACTATAATCCGACGGCAATTGGGAGGTGGAGGACTGAAGACACGGACCTGCAAATATTATGTAGACGTAAGAGAACAGCAATAGAAAATTACACAACCCCAAGCATTACATAAATAGAAAAGCTTGCTTCATAATAAAGAGTATTTGTAACTTGTACAGTCACAAACTAAAAGCAGAAATGTAACAAAAACGTAAAAAATAGGTAAACAGAAAAGACTGGCTGAGGATGAAATGTATAAGACTTGATACTATCTAAATATCACAAAAAGATACTTCATGCGCTGAACTAGTATCGCAATCAAATGCACCATGTGCTGCATCTATCATCTGGTGCTTTCTGTATTGAGTGCTATGCCAGCAAACATTGTTATAACAGCATAATCAATTGCAAGAAATAAATTATTAGGAAGTCTAAGAGGAAATTTCATGTATAATATGAAAAAGAAAAAATAAACACTAGCCTGCAATTCAGGAGGTAAAGACCCATGAAGTGGAAGAATTATAGCATCCATACAAGAACCTTCCTCCAAGTTTTGGATTCTTTCTTCCAATTTCGAGACCAATTTCTCTATATCATCCTACAAGAGTCGTCAACTAATACCTATTACATATAACAGTAACAATGGCATGATGGTACGATAGCATGATGCCAAAAGCAGATCATCTTAAAGGACAACAAAGAGATTTAACCTGTCCAGTCATGAAAATTAAGATATCACCTTCAGGTTCTTGAATGTGTATATCTACAAATAAAAATGCAACAGCCATGTAAATGGACAACCACATTATAAGAAAATGTGCCAAAGCAATGATGAGGCACCTCACTGCTCTGGACAACCAGTATGTAAAGTGACAAGCCTGCACAAAGCTGACCCATACCAATGGCAGTTTTTAAGGAAGCTTCAAGATAATTTTTGGGCCTTTCTGGGCTATATTTTATCTCAACGGGGAACAACTTCCCAGGGACATTAACGATTGGGCAACCAGAGAAGAATTTGGATACTTTTTCACCATCCAGAGTAGCTGAAGTGACTAGGACCTTTAAATTGGATAGCCGTAACTTAATCAAGCGTTTCATCAATCCAAGCAATATATCCCTACCCAAAGATTACCACACATCAAATTAACATCTTATACCAATGATAACTGGGAAAAAAGAAAAAAAGGCTAGCAAAAGCATACAAATAACACAGAAAAACCATTTGAGACTTCTCAATGCTATACAGAAATATCAACCAGGTCCAAAATTCAAGAAAAATGTGAAATGCCAATTTTCTCCAGCCATTTTTATCGCACAGGGCAAGTGATTACAAGAAAAAGAACAATAATTTACGTGTTCAAGCTCCTCTCATGAGCTTCATCCAATATAATGACTGAGTAGTTGCTCAACTCTGGATTGGAAAGACTTTCACGAAGAAGAACTCCATCTGTTAGGTATCTGCATATTTACTCACTGACCAGTTAGTACTAGCAATGGTATCTAGTATTCATTTTACCACATCTAGAAAAAAAATAAGAATAGAAGTGTTATTTCTTCATTTTTGTAAAGTCACATTACTTGATAAGTGTTTTCTCTGAAGTTCGATCTTCAAAGCGTATGGCATATCCTACTTCCTCCCCAAGATTAACATTGAGCTCCTGTGCAACACGCCTATGCATAAAAACAAAATAAACAATAAACTACAGATAAGCAAACACAATTTTCTCAAGAGTCATAATATCCGCAACAACAAAAGAATACAATAAAGAATAAATAAAAATCCGAATTTCAAAAAATTGGTAACTGCCATCTTTCCTTTGTATTTAGAAATAGGATACCATCCCAACAAATTACCTAGTAAAATTCCCAGTTACTGAGGTTACCAAATTCTTGACTTTCTTCCCATATTATTAAAGACTCATTTGTAACATAGACTACTGCGTGCAATGTGTCATTTCATTTAGAATTTGCAGTAAAAAATAAACAAATGTGTTGCCTATACAATAAGTAAGAAAATGTAGTAGAGTTCAAAACTATTCTTAAATTAATGTTGCACTTATTCCCCATTCTTTTTATCAATGGAAAAGTATGACCTCTCATTTCTAACACATATATATTGTGTGCCACTGTATTGAAATTCCTCAGGAAATGAATTAGGGAGCCATTTTCTTCTAATAAAGTGCACAAGAGATGTCAAATGTACATTATATAAGAGAGTGCCTAATTCCAAACATATGCTGCTATTGACCGTTGATAAACATCCAAAAAATTTCATGGAGGATATAGGTCGCCTACCATCAGCTGTAGTTAAAACTCAGGAAAAGTGTAGGAAAAAGCATTATTATCACTGAGGTTCCAATTTCAGAGTGCGGAAATCATTAACGGTAGGATTAAATTACTACATCGTAATTACCAAATAAAAAAAGTAGCACCGTATGCTTCGTACTCTTATCACACGCAAATCGAGCACAAAAAGACCTAAATATGAACTTGAGAAAATTACCGAGATACTGAAACGGCAGCCACACGACGCGGCTGAGTAACAGCTATACAACCGGATTTTGTGTAACCTCTTCGATGAAGAATTTGACAAAGTTGCGTGCTTTTACCGGAACCGGTTTCTCCGATTATAACGACGACAGGATTTTTCTCCACCGTTTCCGCAATATTTTCTTCGAACTGGAGTATAGGTAAGCGCGCCATTTTTTAAACAACCGATAAAGGTGCGGAGAATCAATTGAGGATTTGGTGAGAGCGAGACAGAGAGAGAAAGAGAGAGGCCGGTGCAGAGCAGGCCGAAACGCTATTCCGACGAATAACTGTAGTGTCAGTCAGAAGCCATAAATTTCTTCTCCGGGCGGACATATGGGCTTTTCTAAATTCTAGACCATCCCAACACATACCTCTATATTATATATATATATATATATATATATTTTATTTTATTTTTTTTTGCAGTAACACTTTATTTTTGAGGGTCAATAATATTTTCTTTAAATTTTATTATATAATTTTTATAATTTTTTAAATTTATAAAAAATATCAAATATTTTATTACTTTTATATATTTAATTTTAAAAATACTTTAAATATTATATGAATAAATTAAATTAAATTTTTTATTATTTGATCTTAAAAATAATAAACATTTTAAATAAATTAATTAACATTTTAATATTATTAAATAATATTTATGCAAAATAAAAATAAAAATATATAATATTATTTGATTAGATATAATAAATACTATAAATAAACAAAAGTACAATTTTAAATAATAATATTAATTATAAAATATATATATAAATATAAAAAATAATTTACTTTATAAATAATAAAATAAAAATTTACAAAAAAATAAAATAGATAAACAAAAAAATAATTTTAAAATAATTTTACTTATTTTTAAGTTAAAATAAAATAATCACTCTCTTGTACGCATAAAATGAGGAGGCTTCTATCACAATCCCAAAATTTCAGGGTGGATTGCAGAACCCAGTAGATTGAGGTGATTTAAGGATTTGATCTTTTTATTTAAATTAAATTTTATACTTATTAAACTTTAAATGTGTAAATATTATTCTTTTGATCAAAAAAAAAAAATTATGTACTTCGAAGTTTAAAATTAATAATATTAAAATAAAGTAAATAAAAAATAAGGTAGAAATATTACAAACTAGTAGTATTTATTAATGAATTAATATAAAATTAAAGTAAATAATAATAATAATAATGACAAAATTTTAAATTTAAATACATTCTAAAATGTCATAGGCCATACACACTAAAACTTACGGGTATGTTTGTTTAGGATATTGGATTTTAGTTTGAGATTTAAATAGTAAAAATTTTAAATTTGAATCATCATGTGACGTAATATAAATAGGTATTGATGTAAAAAATAAGTGTTTGATTTTTTAGAAAAAAATTTATTTTAATAAATACTAGAAATTTGAAAAAAAAATTATAATTCCAACACACCCTTCCTAGACTCTTTTTTCCTTTCGCATCACATGTTTTAAACTCGCCTTAAACAAAACTTCTTAAACTCTCAACATTTTCACCTAGAATATTTTATATATTTAAAAAGTAAAATTATATATTTCATCATTTTTTTATGCTTATAACTTTAAATAAAAATAGATTTATTATTTTTTTCCATCAATATATGAAATTAAATTATGCATAATATGGACCCGAGAAATGCGAAAGTATTGTGGCACTATGACTATTAAATTACCGTATCAAATTGCTTATTATTCAAAATATTTAAAAAACCCAAAAAGACATGCTTTGGAAGCCTCTGTCTTTTATTTAGGTTTTGAGCCAATGCAGATATGCATCACGATGTCTGCCTTTGTGATTTATTTTACGAAAACAAAGAATTCAATACATGCTATGACAGCTTTCATTTGCATGTACAGTAATCGAAGAAAGAATGAAGGAATTGTAGAGGAAGTCAATGAAGGACGCTCCTAATGATTGAGGTGCTGCTAAGCCAGCACCGCATTTGCGACGGTGGTTTTTTCGTTGCCAAGATTGTTATGAGAAAACAAGAAAGAAATCAAATAAAGAACACAGAGGTTTTATATGGTTCGATGACGATGTGTTAACCTACGTCTATGGACAGGAACTTGAGCGATTTTATTATACTGATTCAGAGAGTTACAATCATTATTATACGACTAGGAATCATAGCTATCTATTTAGAAGCACCTCAAAACACTCTAAACACTAAGTCCATTTGTTATTCATTAGGATGAGCCCAAAAGAAATCCTGCCAATTGAAACAACATTTTCGCTTTGGTTTCGGGTCGGGTAGACTGTTAAATCCAAGTCACATTTCAACAATCTCCACCTTGACTTGGAGTTTCTTCAACCGCCAAAGGTTCCTCAATATCTCTCAGTCGTCTCCTTACTACCAGATACCCCGAGGGGACTTTACCTTCTGCGAATATTCACCAAATTCAAGCAGTGCTCGAATTTCTCCGTCAATAGCCCCTTTGTCAACATATTAGTTGGATTGTGTTTTGTAGATATTTTATGAATAGAAAACTTGTCTTCCTCCAGAACATCACAGATAAAATTCAATTTACATAAATATGCTTGGTTTTCTCGTGATACACCAGATTTTTAGCCAAATTCAAAGCACTCTGACTATCGCAGAATAACACCGGTTTTTCCACCTTCAGACCCAAAATCTACACCAAACCATGTAACCAGATACCCTCCTTAATACCTTCAGTCATTGACATGTAGTCCGCCTCAGTCATCGACAGTGCAACCGTAGGTTGTAAAGTAGACTTCCAACTGATTACCCATCCAAACAAAGTGAAGATAAAGCAAGTCAGTGATCTTCATTTCACCAAGTCACCCCCGTAATCAGAGTCTGCATAGCCAACCAAACCATCACCATGGCCTTTATCATCGCATACCATACAAATATCAGACACTCATTTCAGATATCGTAAGATTCACTTTACAGCTCCCCGGTGAGCTTTACCTGGATTAGCCATAAACCTGCTTGCCACACTAACCACATAAGCGAGATCCGGTCTCGTACATACCATCGCATACATAAGACTTCCAACTGCACTTGAATATGAAACCGTCTTCATGTAGCTAACCTCTTCATCTGTAGCCGGTATAGTGCTTCGATCAAGTTTAAAGTGTGCCGCCAAATGGGTACTTATCGGTTTGGACTGATCAACAGAGAATGCCTGCAAAACTTTCTCAATATACTTTTTTTGAGAAACCCATAGCCGTATTGCTTCTCTATCACGTCAGATCTCCATACCCAGTATTTTCTTTTCTGCACCCAAATCCTTCATCTCAAAATCACCATTTAGTAGAGCCTTCAAGTCATTAATTACACCCATGTTTTTAGCTGCAATTAACATATCATCCACATACAACAAAAGATACAAAAAGGAATCACTATAAACTTTCTTCAAGTAAACACAGTTATCAAACTGATTACGAGTATAACCATTAGACACCATGAAAGAATCAAATCTTTTTACTGCCTTGGAGACTACTTCAAGCCATATAGAGATTTATTTAACAAGCATACTTGATCACTTTTAGAACTGTCGAACCCCTCCAATTGAGACATGTAAATCTGTTCTTCTAGATTACCGTGAAGGAATACCATTTTTACATCAAGCTGCTCTAACTCCAGATCAAAAGCACCCACCATTGCCAAAAGAACCCGGATGATTTTGTGTTTCACCACAGAAGAAAAGACTTCATGGTAATCGATTTCTTCCTTCTGTGAGAACTCTTTTGCCACCAGTCTCGCCTTGGACCTAGCAGGTAACACTAGGAATTCTTTCATGTCTTTTAAAGACCCACTTGCATCCCACTGGCTTCACCGATTTTGGTAGTGCAACGAGATTGCAAGTCTTATTCTTTTCAAGAGACTACATCTCTTCATTCATTGCTATAATTCAATTTTCTGCATCTTTACTCGCCACAGCTTCTTTATATGTTTTTGGCTCATCAGAGCCAAGATCATCCTCAACCATCAATGCATAAGCCACATAATCCATGTCACATTTATTGACACATCCTGCAAACTTAGCTGGTTTTTATTTCTCTTTCTCTTTGTAGCTGCTATGGAATCTTTAACCCCAATACCAGTGTCATCATCTTCCTCCTCAACCGGTTTCCTTTGAGGTTTTGACTGATCTGGTTGATCGGATTGATCAATAGTATTATCCTGCTGCTATTTCTCCAACACAACTCTGTCAGGAGTCTTGAACTCCACTTTCTGGTAAGCCCCACAATCTTTTGTACCTGCAATACTTTCACAACCTCTACTATGATCAAGCATAGCTGATTCATCAAAGGTTACATATTTGCTAATAAGAAATTTACCAGAATCTTTACCTTCTATACACTACAGTCGATAACCTTTGACTCATGTTGCATACCCTAGAAATATGTATTTTACCGCCCTCGGCTCCAGCTTACCATTATTCACATGAGCGTATACAAGATATCCAAATATTCTTATATTAAAGTAATATGAGGGTTTTCCGGACCATACCTCTTGAGGAATCTTTAAGTCAATTACAGTTGATGGAGATCTATTAACCAGATAGCTAGCAGTGTTAACTACTTTAGCCCAGAATTGCTTAGATAGGCCAACAAATATGGGCATACATCTAGCATGTGCTATTAGGGTTTGGTTTATACGCTCTGCATCCCCATTTTGTTGTGATGTATGTCGTACAATGTGGTGCCTCACTATACCTTATTTCTTGTAGAAATAATCAAATGGAGCGTTGCAGAACTCCAATCCATTATCAGTTCTTAGAGTCTTGACCTGTTTACCCGTCCGTTTTTCAACCATGGTTTTCCACTCCTTTGAACTTCCCAAACACCTCATCTTTAGTCTTTAGAAAGTACAACAAGACTTTTCTTAAATAATCATCTATAAAAGTGACAAAGTAAGAACAACCGCCCTGCAATTTCACCGGAGAGGGACCCTTATAAATCTGAATAAACATACTCCAGAATTTCTTTTGAAGTGTGATGACCGGTACTAAACCTCACCCTGCGTTGCTTCCCTTATACACAAGCCTCACAGAATTGAATTTTACTTGTCACATCCCCAACAAATAAACCATGCTTGCTCAGCATAGACAACCCCTGCTCACTCATGTGACCCAATCGACGGTGCCACAAATTTGTCCTGTCATCATGTTTAGGATATTACCGCCGTTCCCATCACTGAACTGACTTGTAGAAAATAAATTTCATACTGAAGTTTTCCCTTCATCGTCACCAAAGCACCTTTTAGGACTTTCACCCACTCACATTCACCATGATATTTTAAACCATTCTTGGCTAATGTGCCAGGCAAAATCAAATTCTTTCTGAGTTCAGGAACATAC